CCCTCTCCGGCAGCGGTGACCGGCCTGTCCCCAGGCCACGGGTTGGCTTCATCGCTCCGCTTGTGCGGCTGGGTAGCGACCCGTGCGCTCTGGTAGGGGACAGCTGGGGACAGACGGGTTTTGGCTCTGAGGCGACAACCGCAGCGGGCTTCTTCGCATCAGAGTGGCTGCATGGTTCTAAAAACATCGGAGCTGGCCCTGGCGAAGGAACTTTTCCCCTTTGCCTCGTAGCTTGAGAAATGCGCCTCTTCTGTTGGTTTTTTTTCCCCCCTCTGGAAGAGCTGGTATCTCTAGGTGTTTTGTGAGACCCACTGCCTTGTCTGTAACTTCAGCGCTTCAGAACCGGGTGATGTTGAAATGCAGCAAAACGGAACACAGGGGAAACCAAAAGGGCAGTAAGGTCTGAATAATTTCCTTTGAATCTTTCGGATAATTTCCTTTAGATATTTTGGATAATTTCCTTTGCATATTTTATTTGGCTTTGGATATTTTCTGGCATTGGTTGGAAATTTGTAATAATAGTTACTTTTAGGATGTTTGAGTCTGAGCACAAAGTTACCAGGTCTGTTGTAGCGCTGCATTTGCATAAATTGAGGGTTTTATTGCAATGAGAAGACAGCATCACTGGGATATCGGTGATTTCACTTCTAAAGGGAAAAGGCACGGGGAAGTATTAAGTAGCTTTTTCTTTGCTGAGCACGTGATTATTTTAGAATGAAACCTGGGAAGGATCAAAACCCTTGTTTCTGTTTAAAAAAAAGCCCACCCAAATGCACACACGCACACAATAGTTATACAATAATTTGATGTAAATTCCTAATGGGAGCAGATTGTTCCCATCTTGATATGGCAGGTGGCCATGAACTTCAAATAGGAGATGTGGTTCCTGTGTTCCTTAGATGAAGACCTAGTTTGTTACTTTGCCTCCTTCTGTGTTTCTATCAAGTTAGCATCAAGGTATATTTTTTAAACAGTGAAGACCTATGTGTCCTAGTGTTACACTCGAATTTAGGTTTGGTTTTTTTTAGGTACAGGTAATGTTATGTCTGTACCCAACTTTTTTTTTTTTTTTTTTTAGTACAAAATTTAACTTGGACTGTTGGAAGCAGCAACACAACAGTTCTGGTACAATCAAGGATTCCTGTCCTGTGAACAGCCTCTTAGCTGGGAACCAGATGTGCTTTCCCACGCAGGGATTCGGCATGGGCGAGTCCTAATGTCAGTGAAGAGAGTAGGTAGCTGGTGAGGGTCTGTACTGCAGAGCTACGGCAGGCATCCTGTCTGAGCTCTGTCTTAGCCACTTCTTTTTTTTATCAAAGCTTTGTTCATAGCCCTCTTCTGCCTTTGAGTTTGCAGTGGGCTTGTGGCTCCGCATGAGTTCGCAGTCATAGACCAGTTATTCCTGTTAGTGCTCAAATTCCAAGCTTCAGAATGCTTAATAGCATAGTATTTTGTGCAAAGGTGGATTAAACTCTCTTCACAAGTATTTATTAAATTGACTTCTAATCCGTTTGATCTTAAGTTGCCTCTGCTTGAGCCTGAGGTAAATAAAACTTTTGCAGTATTTTTCATGAGTAACAGTATGTGATCTTATAGGGTAAGTTAGTGTTCAGTTTAATGGTCCCAATTTGTATAATTTATGATGTAATATTTCCTGAGGCTTTCATCAAGCTTTGCATTGTGCATTACTTTTTTCCCCATCCTTCATTAAAAAGGGGGCACTGGAAATAATGTGTAAATGCGGCTTTTTAAATGCATGTTGGCTTCATAACTGTGGATGTGTTGCTGAAGCTGGCTGTGACTGGCCTGCTGCACAATACAAAATTAAAGTGATGAGTTTTGCTACAAATAAAAATTTTTGCGGCTGGCAGGTTTCTTCTTCTTCTCCTCCCCCCTCCCCCTGCTCCCCC